CCCCTGCCAGCCCTAGCCGCCTGGAGAGCCCCGCGTCCTCAGGCCCCGACCCTGAGCGTGAAGGTGATCCTGCCCAGGAAGCGGTCGTACGGGGAGTCGTTGATGATGCCCTTGCCGTTGAGCTTGCACTGCACCGTCAGCGGGACGTCCAGCTGCACGCTGGGGAGCTGCACCGCCACCAGCGGGGATGTGTAGTTCACCTGGGGCAGAACGCAGAGGATGTCAACCATCGGGAGCAGAGTTCAGGGTTCAGAGTTCAGGGTTCAGAGTTCAGAGTTCAGGGTCCGGTTTGTTTGTCATATGCACTTATTTGCACGTATGCTCCAATACGGATACGATAAAGAAACAAACTTCAACATTTGTTCATAGGGGAAGTCATTCATTCAGCCAGGGTGTCATTCATTCAGGCCGCACACATCTACCACCGCTGTCCTAGAGACTGCTAGAGGGCACTCCTCTTCCTCCCAGACGCTGGTGTCTGTGTTTGTGCACGGAAGTGGTCAATCACATAAATAAAGACGATTCGCAGGAAATTATGTCTCCAGTAAAAGAATTTGCTTTCTTAATCCTGTATATTCATTCACGAAAGATAGAGCCAGCAAACCTGACTATAAGGTGAGAAGAAAACACACTACCAGCATACTCACATGTCTCAGTTTCCCATAGTAAGGGTAGTACTTCTTGCTGAAGACGTTGTCGGGATAGAACTGTATGTCTCCAAGGTTTTCTGGTCCACCTTTCTGAAATGACGAGCGCTGTGTTACCGGAGAACGGCTGCAGAGGGGGAGGGTTTCCTGCTGCTGTGCTGCAGCTCATCACAGACAGACCCACTGCAAACACAACTGACCCCCCTCAACCCTAAATACCCGCCAGTAAACAGCCCAAAAGGTTAAACTCCGGAGCCCGGAGACGACAGACTTGGGAACGAGAGGATGATGGGTACCTGAGCATGGCATGTCACGTTGATAGCAGTGCCTTCTCCAGGCAGGTAGCCCAGGATCTGATCGAAGACACAGAGAGAGACGGAAAGAAATGTCAAGAGCCTCCGGAGCATAAGGAAAAGGTTCTCATACATGATCAAATGCATTTAGTGTTTCACATAAACATTAGTTGTTATTCATACTGCCCAGGTAATAAACCCCCTACAGCCTGAGATGGGACAGGCAGGTGCTCGAGTCTGACTATGCTGGTGGCTGAGGTATTATTTCAAGCCAAGCTCCAACAGGCACAGCCTTTTAAGCCCTGAGATTTAGTTCCATATTATTTCCACACATTATTTCCATGATTTTTCTAGCAGGAATACTGCTAATGAATAAATTGAAAATGTGAACATCATAACAGTAAACAAGGGGGTTTAGGCGATCAAACTGATGGCAGTAAAATTGCTTTTAATTGTTTGTTGGTGGGTGTCTGCTCTTCTACATACTATAACGTAGTAACCACTTTACCATATTAAAGCATTTAAGACTCCAGCTGATTAGGTGCTCAAAACACAGGCTGCTTCGTGTTATAATTCAAAGTCTGAAGCCCGTGTGCTTACAAAACAGATGCCAAGAACAGGTGAGCCTGCTTCTGGCAGCGAGAGACAGCAGGCCCTGATTAAACAGGAGACATCTGGCACAAGGCTTTGTAGCGTTTTCTACAAAGTTTTTTTTTGTTTAGTTGAAAAAGGAGCACATTACACAAGGAATGGGAATCGAAAGAGGAGGCATGTTCTCAGCCAAACGTTCTCAACAGCAGGAAGCCGGGATCTGCAGGTCGCAGGTCGAGAAACTGACGCACAGCAATGACCCACGGCAGCCAGCCAGGAAAAGGGGACGCGGTTCTAGTTACAGCCAATAGATGCCACTGTGCGCTTACAAAACAGCTTGGGAAAACCGCCGCTGTTAAAGGGCTTTATTACAAAACACAGATATTAGTCTCTTGCACTAAAATAGTCTACAAGTTTGGTCATAAACAAGCCTATATACTCTCTTCCAGAAATCGTTTTTTTTTTAGTGAAACAATACAATTTTGTTAGCATTTTCAGAAAACAAATGTTATTAAAAAGCCACAGCGCGTTCAAAATATCGAGACAAAGGGTACTTTTCCTTCCCCGGTGGGCTGTGCTAAAGCTGTGTGTCACAGATGACGCAAAGGAAGGTTGACACAAAGTTAAAATAAAACGTTTTGAAAGGATTTCGGCTCCAGCTCTGCTTTGAAGCGCGCAGTTGCGCCCCCGTGTGGCGTCTCGCCTTACTTACCCGGTTCATCTTGAGCACAACGCAAGGTTTTCCCTGAGAGTAGCCGAAGTCGGGATCCTGGACGCCCGAGCACTCTTTCAACCAGGACCTTTTGAACCAGCAGGCTTTGCGCTCAGCGCTCTCTGGCTGAAAGTCCTGCCTGAAGTAGTCTTCTTTATCACGGCAATCGATATTCCTCTCCTCTTGAAGGCTGTCATTATACGCTGTAAAAAAAATAGTTGCTTGACACGGGACTCGGCAAACGAAGCACAAACCTTTTCTAAGACGACTGGGAAGCAGTTTCGACACCAAAGCCCTCCAGTCCCGATTTAATGAACACAGTCTGAGAACGTTTTGGCTCTAAATGCTTCAGATATCCTTGTTTCCAGTAACTCCCGCCCGCGGCGCAGACAGACTCGCTCACGTCTCAGGTAGGACTGCAGGGCCTCCGTGTACTTCTCCCAGGAGCTGCGGTCCGAGGCGTTGAAGGAGATGTCGAAGCCGTTCAGGCTGGGCGACATCATCATGCCTGCCGGGCAACGTGCACACAGTCAGGACCTGCAGCCGCGGGTCACGGCCTGCACACCGACTGACCAGGGCGCAGGGACTGCGGGGTAGCGGGACAGCGGAGCAGTGGGACTGTGGGACAGCAGGACAGTGGGGCACTGGGGCAGAAGGACAGTGGGACAGTAGGGCAGAGGGACAGCGGAGCAGTGGGACTGTGGGGCACTGGGGCAGTAGGACAGTGGGGCAGTAGGACAGAGGGACAGCAGGACAGTGGGGCACTGGGGCAGAAGGACAGTGGGACAGTAGGACAGAGGGACAGTGGAGCAGTGGGACTGTGGGACAGCAGGACAGTGGGGCACTGGGGCAGAAGGACAGTGGGACAGTAGGACAGAGGGACAGCAGGACTGTGGGGCAGTGGGACAGGGGCTCTCACCTGGCGGGACCACTCTGTCGCTGTAGGTGGGATTGTACGGGCTGATGCTCCACAACAGGCCGCACATGCAGGCTGCAAACATGGCGGCCAGGAAGGAGTACAGAGCCAGGTAGAAGAGGATAATGAGGCCTGAAACAGAGAGGTGAGCAAGGTCACAGGTGCCCGATCATCCCCAGGATAAACCCCCAGCCAGTCTGACCGCAGCCCAGCCAGGGCTCCTGCTATATCGGTTCTCCGGGATGTGGATGGGCTGGATAGATCCATTAAGGGTCATCAGCAATCAGACACCTTGCGACTTCTCCTCTTCGTCACGAGCCTTCCTGCAGCTCACAGCCCATGGACTGGGATTGCATCACTCTTTGGAACTGAACTTGCACCACATAATCTGACACTGTGTGATACAGTCTGACCTCTGCCTCTGTCCCGGTCCAGCTGGCAGCTGATCTCATTGCAGGGATACACAGTGTGCTGCCCGGCCAGACCGCTGTACACTCCTGTACAGGCAGTGAGATCCGCCAGTACTGACTGCAAGTACGCTCATTTCAGCCTCTGTCTCACTGCTTTGAAATGACTTTACTTGCACAGGATCTTAGAGCAGACGTTACAAAACCAGCTGATATCTGCACGTGACAAAACACTAGATTTTCCTCAGTCAAGGACTGTAAAAAAAGAAATATTTATATCCCAGCAGAGAGGCTGCAAGAGTACACACATAACATCAGACAGATGGGGGGAAATCCATTTTTATCTGCTAATGATAAACTTCGGCTGCCTGTCATGTGTGAAAAATAAAGAAATAATGGAATGTGAGTCTTTGGCTTGTTAATCTCCCATTGAAACTCCATTGACTCCTAATCAAGGTACGTTTGCGCTTGAACAACACTGAGTGGCTTTAGCTGCTGTGCAGGCTATTTCAGCGTGCAGTTAGAAGGGCTGCTTGCAGCCAGCACTGGGTCCCGGATTGACAAAGGAGTTTCTGTTTGAGCTCAGTGAGAATTTTCCCAGCTGTCCTTTCACTCAGGAACACAGTGAACCTCCGGTTGCTATTAGACAGACAGTCTTTCGCAGCCACAGAGCCGGCCAGCTCCATGGAACTGGGATCACTCCACTGGGGTATTGTCCTCCTTTTCAACCAGCTCTCTTAAAGGGACACACAGTGCTTTTCAGCAGCTTCGCAGTGAAGCCTTCTAGCTCCAGTTTTAATGCTGCGCTCACTGACCCCTCTGAGTTTCACCGCTCAGCAGCTGAAGGGTCGGCGATGGGGTCCTCTCCCCAGACAATCAAGCACAGCCCCAGGGGAAACTCCCTCACAGGCTTCCTTTGAGCATGTGCTCCTGTCAGGGAGAGACACTGATCCCTCACGGGGGGCGGAACCGCTGGGATGGACCGTAGTGATCTGGATAATGCATGTATACGTACGGATATTAGCTGGTGCATGCGCACAGGAAAAAGGAAGTGTATGTTAGCCGTGAAAGTACTAACACAACGTGGTGTGCAAGTCCCTCCCAGGAAAGTAATTATCCCCTTTCCAATCTTGTGGATTGTTAATTGATCGAAACCCAGAATAACAACAAAACAACAACAAAATGTGCTGCTTTATCATGCCAGTATAAGAAATGTTCACAGAAGTAAATGAATGCCTTCCAGGTCTTATACTTCTGTGAACCTTCACCCTTTAGCGGTGAATGGGCTTTGCCGAGATGAACCACGCTGGCTGTGCATCGCCATGGTGACCAGTGCCGCCGCTGGTCTCGGCGGACATGTGTGAAATGTGTGTAATGCCCTGAGGCTCCGCCAAGCTTCAGGAAAGCAGGAAAGAAGACAGTAGAGCTGCCCGAGAAATGTGAGTCCTGGCAGGAGGACAGATGGCTGGAAAGCTCTGTTGGGGAGGATGTTTTCCCAGGACTGTCCATGTTCCACAGAGGAGAAGCGTGCTATCTGCACACCTACATAAACAGTGGCTTCATGTTACTTGCACGATACAGACTAAAGTGGGCGCAGTGCAGCCAAAAAAGGAAAAAAACTGGATGATAACGATCACTGCATCTCCATACCTTCCACCAACTGCCCTAACAACACAAAAAAAAAACGCACAGAAAATCACGGGCGATTTGTGTCATCCACTTGAAGAGTCAGACTCCAGATGCAGAGATCTGGGCTGTGTCCAGAAAATTACAGGCTGTGGAAGAGAGATGGTACCTGAAGCACAGGGTGCTAAAATGTGGTGCTGAAATCCCAAACCGCAGTTCTAACTGCTAGCAGAGATCAGGAACCTGCCCTTGGTTAGTCTGAACAAATGAGCTCTGAGAAGAAACCTCCTGAAAACATGTTGACAGTACCAGGACACAAGCCTTTGAAAGGAAGACTGTTCTGTTCTCTCCAATGTGACCAATTAATATAATCACACTGTCATACTGAAAGTATTCTGTACTGTGTGTCCTGTGTGATTGGTCATACTTTGTAAGCTTCAGTATTATCTGAACCATTATAGCATCTCAGTTTTCTGTTTTTTTCTGTACGTTTCACCTGCTGAAAGTAAACAGAATATGTTGCAACCATCACTGTGCTTAATGCAACATAGTTACACTGCAACATTATTTAAGACAAAATGAGATTCTGTCTCTTGACCCCTGACACTCAGGTCTCATCAATCTCCTTACTCCTGACAGACTAAGCTCCTTCACCACTTACTCCAGCTTTTTCCAGACCGTCCCATAAACTCCCTGGTTTCGGGGTTCCAGAGATACTTCTTCAGATCCGCCATGACCTCCTTACAGGTCTTCTTCGGCTTTGGCTTCGGCTTCCACCTCTCGAAACCAGGCTCTTCATCGTCTGACTCCTCCTCGGACTCCTCCTCCTCTTCCTCAGAGCCTTCTGCCGCAGCCGGCTCCTGCTGGGCCTCCGTCTCACCTGCCTGGGAGAGTGGCCAACAACACGTCATCTCCCAGAATTCCCGCTCCCGCTGCGGCAGGGCGGAGAAAACTCTCCAGAGCTGTGGCCCAGCCTGAGCATCAAACAGTGAGCCTCTCCAATAATACTATAGATAATACTTTATTAATCCCGTAGGGAAATTGATGCGTATAAATAGAACAATAGAACAAAAACTATGTTCAAAAACTATAAATAGAAATAGAACAAAAACTATGTCTTTGTTCTAAATATTTGTAAATGTTTGCTCGTTCTTACTGCTTTGGCGACACTGCAATTGCTTGGTCACGTAAATAAAGCCCTTTGAATGTGTGTTACAATATCAATGGGGGTCTTCCTAGAAGGAGAACAAGCCTGCGTTGACAACTGCTGTGTTTTTCTATACTCTGAAGGAAGAATATACTAATATTGCCTGATTTGTCCCATTCTGTAGCCACAGGAAGAGCTGCAGGCCTGCCAGTGGAAACCCCCCTGTCAAGTATTCATCAGAGGCAGGAGTGACCAGCGCATTAGGTCAGATAAGGCACGGGCAACATGTATCTCAATGTACATCTCTGAAACAAAAAGACTTTTTATACAGCTGTGAAATTTGATGTAAAAATCTTCTCTTTTTCCAGAACAGAGATTGTGTCTCATTGTCCTTGAGAGGAACAGTGCTCATTTACTGTAACCAGAACACAAACATTTCACGGCTAGCTAGGAGACACTGATTGCTGCAGAGTCATGAGAAAATCCTCTCTATCTGTAACTCAGCGATGCACAACAAAAATCCCAGGTTATCTGAAGATGTTCCCTGGGTTTCTCTTGACAACAGATAGTGATGAAAAGGCTTATCGGAATGGTTAATTATTAACTATTAAGGCAAACATAGATTACTGCTATACCAGTGACCATTTCAATGCACATCTTCAGAAGTTCTGAAAGGCATGGATATATTTGGTCTACAACAAGGAATTATTTCAGTGCCCATGTACACCAAACAGTGTTTGGGGCAATTTACAAGGTAAAAACATAAGTGCACCAAAAAAGAGATAAACTAAATCAAATAACATTAATTAGAAATAAAGAAACAAGGACAGTTCTAATGAGCTTTTTCAGTGTTGAAATGATAAAATTCTAAAATATTAGTCGCTCATTACTCTCTTCAGTCGCATAATAATCTACCTGAAGAGAAAACAGGAGTCTCTGATTATAGTGAATTTACGGGAGAAATCCTTACTCTTTTACTTGACAGGTGTGCCTGTTTAACAATCTGTTGTATGAATATTTCCTTAGTTCCACTTAAATAAGCTGTTTGCATTTTCAATTCTAATGATACAAGTATAAATGTTATGGGGGCACTGTAACGATTTTTAACTGTAAGGGGACTTTCAAGAAATCTCTCTTGCTGTGAATTTAGTCCTCCGGCCTCAGGAAAGCCAAAGATCACTGATTGAGCCAGATGTTCTCTTGTGATTTGTTACAAACTTTGACCATGCAGCTGGGCACCAGTCCTTGGTCTGGAGGATGTGGATGAAATAGCGCAGTAAACACAGTCCTCTCAGTTTGGGTTCAATGAAGATCTTATTATCACGATA